TGTGTGTGTGTGTGTGTGTGTGTGTGTGTGTGTGTGTGTGTGTGTGTGTGTGTGTGTGTGTGTGTTTCCCTCTGGTGCAGAGAAATGTCTGCATGATCTCTGAGAGACACCACGAGCTGTTTACAGTCTTGAATGCAGAAAACACTTTGATAGGAAGTGAGCGACGCTTTACTCCAGCAGCTGATGATGAATGTTGTTTTCAGTTTCACTCAGTTTTCAACCACTTAACTTTGACTTGAATTAACTTAAATAGGCAAGTTCAATTTACACTTTTCACGTAGATAACAAACTTAACTTTTGCACAGATGCAGGCGACTTATTTTCGCCACCAATTCATGGAGCCTTGGCCCTCTGTAAAACCCCCAATACTCTATGATAGAAAATAACAGACATACTTTTATACAGTTCATTCTTTCTTCCAGAATAATCAGGGAGACTTGAATCTAAAAGACTTCCCTGGATCAAACTGTACTCTTTTTTATTATTCGTTCTTGTGGAAAGACCCCTTCTTCTTCTTCTTCTTCTTCTTCTTCTTCTTCTTCTTCTTCTTCAGCTTCATTTAGTGTGAATCGTACTAATGCCAGCATAAGATTTGAAAAAGGCGAAGGAACAACAATATCTCGCACAATAATATAATGAAAAGCAAAGAGGAAGAACAAATAGATGGAGTGGAGAAAGTTCCTCAGGGATTTGAGCCTTTGTAGACCATTTACATGAACTAAAACCACACACTACAGGAGAGGGAAAACCCCAGGAAGCAGAGTAGCCTCTTTGAGGGATTGTCTTTTTTTAAATCACAGAGTTGAAGCTAACGGAGTGGAGATAATTCCCTTCATGAGAAAACACTATAAATAGAGAATGAGGCAAACTGCTCCCTTCAGCTTTCTGTCTCTTGATGTCTCTGGCATCCTCTTTCCTCTGCACAGCTGGTGTGTAATTGGTCAATCTGTCCTCAGCTCTGCTCTGATTGGTTGAGGTGACACGAGGCCCCGTAGATCTCAGTGACACCTGCGATTCACGGCAGACGGACGACAGAGAGAGAGAGTCAGGAACAGCAGGGGGCGTTCATTGGGAACGTGAGGAAACTAAACTCGAAGACGAACTTCAAAATACAAATGAATTAATAAAAAATCCAGATATTAATAAATTAAAAGATGTCTAAGAAAATAGAAAAAAAAAACATAAAATAAAATAGAAATAAAAAAAATACAAGTAAAACAAAATTAAAGAAAACATTTTTAAAAACAAGATAAAAATAACAAACAAATTAATAATAGATACATTAAATTAAAAACATAAACAAAATAAATTAGATTAAGAGACATACAGCGAGTGCACCTGCAGGTTTCTTGCTGTGTTAAGTTTGTATCCTCATGGTTTACTTTAGGAAGTCACTTTTAGGCCATGTAAACACACGCGTCTCATTCTGCGTTGATGCATAATTGTACCGCAGTATTTTCCTTTCTATTTCCAAAGAGGGCCAAGACTCCAGCAAATGCCTGCAAGACACCAAGCTGGAGTTGATGCAGCTCGTGCCATAAATAGAAACATTTCCCCCCCCTGTAGGCTAAAAAATCACCCCCCCCCCACCAACCCCCATCCAACCCACCACCCGTTT